TTGCAGGGTATGTAATTCCAGAGGGATGGCAAGTACTCCCAATTATCTTGGGTGCACATCTTGATCCAACTCTTCATCAAAATCCCTCTGAATTCAACCCTTGGAGATGGATAGTAAGTACTTTTTTCTATCTTGATTTATTTATTTCTATGCAGTCAAAAATTTGACTGACTAATCGTTAAACGGGTCGATCAGCCATATGCATACTTATGTTATGAAATGGCATACTTTTATTTACGTTGTTTTTTAAAGTATGAGGTTTCAGTGTATATCATCGAAAAAATATAACTGTCGAGTAAAAACCGGGATTTTTTTATTTTTTTTTTTATCTTTATTATTACTATATTTTCAATGTATTTGCTTATATTGATGTTAAGGACCCAGCAACAAGCAGAAAAGTGAGCCCTTATGGTGGTGGACTTCGAATTTGTCCTGGGGCAGAGCTTGGTAAATTGGAGACTGCATTTTTTCTTCACCATCTTGTGCTTAATTTTAGGTATGATTTATAGTTAATCTGTATAATATAATAATTTGTGTTTGTTCAACCTCGGAATATTGTAATAATTCTCAATGGATCCAAATTTCTGATTTATGTTTGCCAATTAATTGTGTGCAAGGTGGAAAACAAGTGAAGAAGATTGTCCAATATCAAGACCATACTTGGAGTTCAAGAGAGGTTTATTGCTGGAGATTGAACAGATAGACAAGTGAACAAAAGTAGGTTTTGTAAGAAAATTATATTGTAATACACATGGATAGATGGAGTGTAGAGAGGATAATTAGAAAATAAATTCTAAAGTTTATTGCATATTTTATTACAAAATTATCGAGGAGCAAAACAAAAGTGGTATCTCAACTGTTTGGGACTCTTTTTATTCAAACTAGTACGGTACGCGTGCGGAACATTTATTACCTATTTATTTTTTAAAAGGTAGTTTTGTATTTAAATTGTCTCATGCCATTAAAAATTTCATGAAAATGAAATTTATATGTTATTAAACACTTCCTTATGTACAACATTATTGATTTGATTCTTTGTCACGTAAACTACTACATAGGTGTTTGAATTTATCCAAAGTTGCATATTATTAGTTATTAGTTAATAAATTTTTTAAAAAAAATTAAAGGATCTTATTTATTAAACAAAATTAAAGTAGAAACAAAAGTAGAATTTTTTAGGGATTTTCACTCATTATTTATTTAAATCTAATTCTAAATTTCAATTAAGAAAAATTAAAAAGAATCATTAGTTACTCTTGGAAATGAAACCGATTTTCCTACCAATAAACCGATTTTTTTATCAAACAAATTTATCCGAATATTTTTTTAAATCAAATAAAAAAATCTTCAATTTTTCCTAAAAATGCAACCGAATTTTGCAAACATTGCACCGATTTTTGTACCAAACAAATTGAATTGAAAATAATTTTAATAAAAAATTAAAATAAATTGTTAATGTTTATGCAATTGTCTTTTTTCTAAAGAAAATGATATGAACTTACCAAAATCTCCGTAAAACATGGTTAATAAAAAACATAAGAATCCAAAAAAATCGATGCATTTAAATTTTGAAAAGTTGCACACAATTTTTCCTAAATAATTGGATAAGGTGACGTTAAATATCAATGATGAACCGCTTTTGTTACCAACAATTGTGGACACAATTTTGAATGTACATCCCGTCCAAATATTAATTTTATTTTAAAATAAAAATTGCACGTGGCTTTATCCAATTTACACAATTTTTTTGAAAGAAAAAAGTATTCAATAAGATTGGAAGAATTGATTAAGAATTATACAACTATTTGCTTCCTAAATTTGTATCCAATTTGCACGGTTTTTAAATTAATTTGTATTTAGAATTGTTTTCATAAACAATTAACATATTTTTTGCATAAGAATCTTTAAATTTGTTACCAAAAAAGATTATTTAAATTTTGGTTAAAACAATAAAATATGATACAAAAAAATGGGATTCAAATTTTGCCATAAGAATCTCTAAATTTGTTACCAAAAAAATAGGATTTAGATTTTGTTACTTAAGATTCACATGCGTTTTTTTTAACTTTCCATTAATAATAAGTCAAATATTATTTTTATTTGGTCAAACTTTCTATTAATGTATTTTTCCAACAACATCTTTATATATATATAGATATAGATATAGATATAGATATAGATGTTTTGCTATTATATATATGAGTTAATTCCCTAATTTTTTGTTTGGTTATGTAGCTGCAATCAGAAAACAACAACGCTACACTTTCATAATATCACATATTTCCAGAGGTGCCGTACTTAATTAAAACCAATCTTTTAAGAGTGTTTATATTTTTGAAAAATCAATATAAATAAATTATTAAAATGGTTGACATTATTATTTCAAAAGTGTGGAGTTTTGTTAAAAAAATGTGAATATCCGACCAGAGTTAACTTATCTAACTTATTTTGATCAAGGAGGCGACTTTATTGTGCAATTGAAAAAACAAATTAGAAAAAAAAAGTATTATAGAAAAAAGAGATTCTAAAAGAATTTATAATTTTAATAATATTATTATTTAATTTTTTAATTCCAAAATGATATTAAAAGAGTCCCAATTAAATAAAAGAATCTTATTTAAAAAAATAATAATAATTCAAAGTCCCAAGTCCTTAATTTCAATATTATAAATAGAGAACACGTCCGCCGACCAAATCCTTCAATTTCTTCTTCTCGCAATAACTAATTTGCAGAGGCCAAAGTGCTAAACCAAACCAGCACAGAGCGAACTGCGAACGTCGTCGTTTAGTGGGAAGAATGTCGTATGACTACCTCTTCAAGTACATAATCATCGGCGACACAGGTAACGGAGTCCCCTCCTTCCTGAACCTGAAAAAAGGTTAGGGCAACAGTTAAAACCATTTGACCTTTTGCAATCCTCAATCGCTTTCTGTAGGTGTGGGAAAATCGTGTTTGCTTCTTCAATTCACCGACAAGAGGTTCCAGCCGGTGCATGATCTCACAATCGGAGTTGAATTTGGGGCTCGAATGGTTACCATCGACGGCAGGCCGATTAAGCTTCAGATTTGGGACACTGTAATAAACTAACAGTGCTTTATTTGATTTTCGCACTTCTTTTTTTCCTTTTCTGCATATTTATTGTTCAGATTCCTAGTTCGTTTTCATGCTTGGTTGAGTGGGGGCGTTTAGAATTTCCATATTTTTATTTCAAACAATGGGCATTGATTGATTCTAGAAGAACCAGCTTTATCTGTGACTTTGGAGAGACAAAAGTGATGTTATTATGCCCCAAACATTGGGGACGCTAAAAGAGCTTTGGAGAGGTTTGACAGTTGCTCCAAGCTGGTGTTGATTGTGTTATCATACTGTAATTTGGTATTAGGTTTTGTTGTTCCAGTTGTAGACAATAGATGTTGCTTTTGGTTTGTGCTGGAACTTTATGTGAATCCCTATTTATCTCTCGTGTTTCGTAATTTTAGGCTGGTCAGGAATCCTTCAGATCCATTACTAGATCATATTACAGAGGAGCTGCTGGTGCCCTTTTGGTTTATGACATCACAAGGTAGAGGAACACTTGTACTCTTCCTATACACATCCTTAATCTGTTTGATCTGTGTATACCTCCTGAATATTATGCTTGTATTCAATTATGAAGTTCCATGCTTAAAAATGAATATATTCCTTTTCTGTTTTGAGGGTCATGGTCTTAGTTATGCGACTTGTGTTTTCTCCTATTGAAGCTTGCTTGTTGCCTGGACTAATATTACACAAAGATGGATGTTGCCTATGGTGTAATTGGGAGATGTACTATGCTTCAATGAACTCTCTGCTTGATAATTGGTGACTAAGGTTTTATCAGCTATGACTAAGTGTAAAATTTTTGCTTGTGTGTTTAGCTGGCAGACCATAAACGCCAACATAATTGTTTTGAAAAAAAGATTATTATATTTTTCTACTGAACGTGAAGGATACACATTGTATTGTGTTTGCCCCTTTTCATATGGTGAGATTCTGAGAATAGCCATGTTTTGCCCAGGAGGGAAACATTCAATCATCTCGCAAGCTGGCTGGAAGATGCTCGGCAACATGCAAATCCCAATATGACAATAATGCTCGTTGGAAATAAAAGTGATCTTGCACATCGTAGGGCCGTAAGTAAAGAGGAGGGGGAGCAGTTTGCAAAAGAAAACGGGCTTCTGTTCTTGGAGGCTTCTGCTAGAACTGCTCAAAATGTGGAAGAGGTCAAACAAAGAGCCTATAATAAATAAGAATGTTACTTCTGTTCTAGTATAAATCTCGGTATTCGCTTTTACGGTTTTACCCCATTGTTTTCCTTTTCCATTGTGATCTGTATTTAGGCGTTTACCAAGACTGCAACCAAGATACTTGAGAAAATTCAGGAAGGAGTCTTTGACGTGTCCAACGAGGTTAGAGCCCTGTTTATCAAGACAATTTATTTATTTTTTATTTATTTTGAAATTAAATCTCTAATATTGATGCCGTGTACTTAAATTGCAGTCGTCGGGAATCAAAATTGGCTATGGAAGGTCTCAAGGTCCCGCGGGTGGGAGAGATGGGACAGTTGCTCAGGGAGGTGGATGCTGCAATTGACTCATATATCTGCTCTATTTGCATCAAACCAATTTCATTTAATCATAAGAGATTCTAATAGAAATGTACAGTTTAAGTATGTGAACTGATGTAAGATATGACAATGGTGTGATGTATTACTATGGAGTAATTATTTCCTTCACATTCTTATTCAATGTGATTAGAAAATTGTTAGCTATAGACAACCATGGCAAGAAGAAATTACATCGACCTCTTGGGATTAGAAGAATTACATAACCAATGCATCAAAGCTGGAAGAACTTTCTGCTCCCAAATAGCATTCTTGTATGCTGAAGAAATAATTTAGTCAGATCATTTTATTTCGCACAAGCCTTGCACAGAGTGCCAAATTAGAGTACTTCACGAGGTCATGTACCTATCTATATCTGCAGTAAGATCATCCCTCTTGAATGTACTCAAATATTTGATATTCCGTAGGTCGTAATAAATGATGATCTTTTCTTTCCACCTGAATCTAAATGCATTTTTTAATTTTTTATCCTGTAAGATGTCTCTATATTTTAAATTGAAATGCATCCGTATATATAAGATGTTGTATTTTTATTTATGTTGTATTTTAATATTGTTCTTTAAAGGATGAAATTACAATATGAAATCCATAATTATTAAAAAATATGATTACCTAATTATTTAGTTTCTCTAACAACACTGTTTAATTTAGAGTAGATTTAAAAACCTTACATTGCAACCTGACACTGGCCAATTTTCAAGCACTAAGGGCACGTTTGGATATGAGTTAAAATTGGTTTTAATCAATTATGATAAATTTAGTTGTTTCATTTTCAATCTTCTAACTCAAAATCCTCTCAATATTAGCAAAATAATTAAATATTCATTCTCACACATCCCATCACATCAACTTTCATTCACTGACATAATTTCAACTACATCACTTCCAATATCATAACTTTTACTTTTACATTACATAAACTTTAGTCATTACAATTGAAATATTATTGAATTACAAATTCAAATCATCCATTCAATTAACTTTATTCAAAATAACTCACTTTAACCAACCAAAACCGCAGTTGGATTCATATCCAATCACGCCTAAGTAATCCTAGAAACAGGACACAACCCAGGAAGATGATCTCCTTTACCATAAGACACATTGTTGTTATTATTATGCTGTAATGGAGTTGGCGTGACCTGCATGAACAAATAGTTCCCAGCAAAAAGATCACCAAAATGGGACCTGCTTTCCTTCAGTCTCTCGTAAACTTTTCTCCATGCAAACTTCACCACCCGAGTTTTTCTTCTCACGAATCTCCTCAGGCTTGGGCTTTTAACCCTCAGTTTTCGTCTGATTCGAAATTTTTTTCCGAGCCTGGAGCTTCTTGATCTCCGGACCACCTTCTCTAGAAAACCGTTGTAATAACGATGATCTTCTTGTTCGTGATCGAACCAGCTCTCGTGTTTCAGCCTTTGGTAAGAGGGATTGGCGGTTGTGGCCATTGAAGAAAGGTTTTTATTCTAGGCCTGATTTTGAAGAGAATAAGAACAAGAAAGACTGTATTTTTGTGTGTGTGTGTGTGTGTGTGTGTTCATTTATGATGAAATTAGGTTTGAATTTCGTTGGGTGCATTTATGACAGGGTTTGTTATGTTTATTTTTACAAATTTGTTTTCTTGATTTTCTATAATGAATATTATTATGTTAAAAAAAAATATAAAAAATATTGATTCTTTAGGGTACAAAATTCAAATTCCGAAAAATCTCAAAGAGCAGCATTTTAGAGAGAGGATTAAAACAATTAATACAACATAACTATTAATTTTCGCTAGCAAGTACAAACTGCTAATTAAATTCATTTTTGGCAAATCATAATTAAATCCATTAATCAAAGCAACTAATTATATCTGGTATCAGGTATCAGCTAAATTAATAAGTTAAATCTTCTAAATTGATAAAGGGAGAAAATGCTTTGACGGGACACAGAGCTGTGGTGCATTTATTGATAGGCAACTATTTTTTGGTGAAAAGGGGCCCACCCTCTAATGAGCATGCCACATGAAAGGAAAATAATTCATTCAGGAATAGATAAGGACAAGTTGGCATAGTAGTAGTTATTGTCTGAAAGAAGAGTTTCAACTTTCAAGTGTAAATGATGGCATGGGGCATAATCAAATTAATAATAAAAATTAACTTATGTACATGAAAAGGCAACACTCTCATATGTACACTCCCATCAAATTCGTCGAAGAAACCCAGGGCAGCTACCAAGAACTTGATGAAGAAGCCGATTTTCCAAAATGTGTACGGACAAATTAATATAGCTTTATTCGGGTCTCGATTAGACTGCGGCAAATTGGACACATCTGGAGAGATTGGCCACAATCGCAGCACGTCTGAGAAGAAAAATTAGATGAACAAAGTCAGAGATATTCTAACTGCGCGCCACGTCATAATTAAAAAAAAAAAAAATGAAGCCAAAATTACCTGGTGACCACAACCAAAAGCCATGTCCTTAGGATTAGTAAGGCAAATGGGACAAATCTGAAACAAATAAACGAACGGTTGTTGAGTGATATTTTGCTGGAAAATTCATTAATTCAAATCTTATCTTGATATCAATATATACATATGTACCCACCTGATGTTCGTAAGTGGAGCTCGGATTAGAAGGGGCCAAATTGGCAGAGGGTTTTTGGTTTTGGTATGAAGTCGAGCTGTACTGAAAGCTTTTTGCACGTGAGGGCTTTAAAGCCGAACCAAAACCAGAAGCATTGTGGACTGGAGGTGGAAGAGCCACACGATCTGAAGCATTTCCTTTTCGTCCACTAAATTACGAAAAATGATAAATAGTAAGTTGATAATATTCCAACAATAAAAATAATGCCTCGTACGAACGAAAACAGAACAATAATCAATACTAATTAAGAAAATGAAAGAGAATGTCGAGGGAGCAAAGTTGAAGAAAAAAAAAAAATACCCTAGCAAATTAAGCTCCATGGTAGCTTTATACTGTGAAGGAATTTCCATTAATGCTGCAAGAGCAAACTCTGTCTCTTTCCTAGATTGGTGCGCGTTTTTGGACATGATCTCCGTAAAATTGACAAACTAGAGAATAAAAGTGTGTCTCAATATGGCTAACCAAATTGACAAAAGCAAGAGTAAAACTAAACGTAAATCGTAAAAAAGAAAATTTTGGAACATCAATACTGACCTGGAAGTTATCAAAGTCGCGAGAAGGAATATTGTCGTCAAATTCCCTCATCATGTCCCAAGGGCCATCTCCAACACCGACCAAAATAATAGATAAAGGAAACTTGCTGCAAATATTATAATGTTATTAAGATCATGTAAAGCTGATGATATTATAATCCATAATAAATTTACAAATACTTGCCTAGCTTCAACGATTGCTTCAACAGTTTTTCTCTCCTGCGAGCTTAACTGCCCGTTTTCAGTATCAACACTTCTGGTTACCTACAAATACAGACAAGAAGTTGCCGGCTTATCAAAAAAATAAAATAAAATAAATAAATAAATTCAACCATATACTTAATCAAGTATGAATACCTGTCCATCGGCAATAATCAGTAGCACGTGATACTGGCCTCCACTTTGCTCGACAATAGTCATAGCCATTTCGATTATTGGTGCAAAAGATGTTGGACCTGCAACAAAGTGTTAATTGTAAGCCAAAAGAATAGTCACTTGGATACTAAATCAATGAAGATAGGTAAATATATAATTAACCTGCTAGTTTAAGTTTGGGAACAATTTCTCTGTATCGGCTCAAGACTTCCTCAAACCCATTGCAAAATTTGTCATCAGGATAGAAACTGAATACGTCCTGATCGTGAGTTGATGCTGTCAAGATTTCAATTGAAATAAACAATTATATTATTTCACGGACAAGCCAAAATTAATTACAAATTCCATAATTCAACACATGCTTGTGATCTAATACCATCGCCAAATCCAAAACAAGGGATCAAGTTATCATCATCAAAAGCTGCCAAAGTCTTCCCAATAATGGATATTGCTTGCTCATACGGATTCAGGCCATTCCCAATGTGATGTAAGCTTCTACCATTGCATGACCTCTTGCCTAAAGATGGAAACACCGAATTCTAATTTACGCCATCAAATTTAACCAAAATATCCAAGCTTTTGAAAAGGGGAAAAAGTAAAAAAAAAAAGAAAAAAAAAAAGAAATAGAAGAACCTGTCCATTCATTGCTCTTGGTGAAATCAATTCCTACGATGAGGTTGGAAGACTCGAGACCAGCACGTGCTAGTGCTTCTGTAACCTGACAAATAATTTTTGCCATACACAATCACTTGAAAGAGATGATACAATGGAGTTGTATTGATTCAATCACGTGCAAGTACTAAATATTGATTCAAGCGAGCCCTTTGAGGCAATATAATCAACACCTTCATACCTCGTCCAACGACCTATAATTGTCTGCAATTCTCGAATACCTCCTGTCAAATTTCTTTTGAGGCCGGGATGCAACCTCGTTATATTGACTCCCATAATCCTGAGGAGGAGCATAATACGGGTTTTGAGGTGGATATCCTGCTGGAGCTGGATAAGGATGCTGCGTAGGATAATTCTGCGCGTACTGCGAATATGATGATTGGGCGTAATCGTGCTGCCACCCGGATGCAGAATTAGAATGATTCATGGAGGATTGTCTCGAGCTTTCATCATCCCTAGGGCTACTTGAGCTCCTATTCCCCATCAAAGCAGTTTTTAATCAATCAAACTCACAAAACAACAGCACCAACTTAACTTTCCTGTCCTCTATGCAAAAGGGCTATCTGCAAAAACCCTTTCAAAATTCAAAATCAATAAACCCTAAATTTTTCACAGAAGGCCACAAGATCCAAAATTTATCCGAAAAAACAGAACTTCTTCGCGAGGAAAAATATGGGCCTGGCTTTATTATATTTATTGAGCGAAAAATTATTCAACAACAAAAAAATCCCTGTGAACTTCCCAAACAGAAAATTCAATACCGCGTGAACCAAAAAACAGCTATGACGGAGAAAGACAGCTTTTTTCTATAAACGAACAAAACTTTCGGGCGGTGCGCCGACTTCAAATAGACCCTTAACGACCAAGTCTCGTACGGTTCCAATTCCTATTTTTTTAAGGATAATAAATATTTTATCTAAAAAAAAACAGACACAAGTTAATGTAAGCACGCAATAGATTGATATAGTGTGTGTACACACTGGAAGTTGGCAGAAACTGTAGAAATTGGAAAATGGAGAAGAAACGTGAATTGAATGACATGGAGTTTCCAGATGAATACTTGTCAAACACTAAATTAATGTGCGTTATCAAAAGCAATAGCCCTCATATAAGCTAAAGCTGCATTGCTTTAGAATTAAGATTGTGTATGTATTTAAAATTTACATAATCAACATGAAAAAAGCAAGACAGTGCGAATCTCAGAATAGTCTTCTTCACGAGGAGAGGTTGCAGATTTCAAAATCCCTTTTTAAAAAATTTGCCAATAAAGGTTTTATGCTTTTTCATAAAAGTCTTTTTATGTATTCATTTTATTTATTAAATCAATTCAGAAACTTCCCTATTGATACGTAAAATTCTCAAATTATGGTCACCCTAGTTATTTATTTTTATAATCCTTATTATTATAACTTGATGGGAAAAAAACATTAGATCAGATTAAAGTTTAAATTTGATAGTATCCAAAAGAAAACATATTAGCTAGCACAAAATTCTCCCAGAAAACATTAGATTGGGTTAAAGTTTAAATTTGATAGTATCCAAAAGAAAACATATTGGCTAGCATAAAATTCTCCCTCAAATTCACTTTCTTCCTACTTTCCCATTTTGCATATCAAATCAAAACCAACTGCATGGCCTATTTTATAAGAAGGCTTGTATTATTAGGGCCTTTTTGTCACTTAAATCAAAAGTTCCAACTGAACTCATTGACTTTTTTTTTCTTTTTCTTTTTGTTGTGAAACGAGGACAATACGAATTAAAGACGAGAAAGTAAATAACACAAGATTTACGTGGTTCGGCAATATGCATACGTCCACGGCGGAGGAGTGATATTATTATTCACGATAATCCCAAATACATCAATACACAATGTATTTATATCATAACCCTACAACGTTTGTTTGTTTGTCTATCTGTCTGTCAATACTCACTTTTTTCACCAGGGATTTGAATGATAATTGTTACATGGGTTTCTTTTTGTGATGTACTCATTTTCATTCACCTTTGTTAGTCTTGATTCAGATCCCCATTAGATGGCCCGCGAGCAGGGATCAAGTTTGGAAGGCCAACATACCCCACACCCATCTCGCGCAAGATAAATCGGACCAGAATTGGATGTTTGTTGATGGGGAGAGGATAAAGTTCCCGGGTGGCGGGACCCATTTTCACAATGGAGCCCACATATACATTGCTGCCATTGCAGGGGTGAGCTCTAGCCTCTGCACAGTGAGATTGAGTTTAAGTTGTTAGATTTTGAGTATGAATTGAAAATATAGATTGAGAAAATTTGTAAACAAACACACCCTAAACCTCCCGTTCAAACTATTTCAACTTTCCCATTCATTCATTGTCGTGTTTCTTTAGATGCTCAAGTTTCCGCGCGAAAGACTCAACAACAATGGCCGCATCCGGAATGTTCTAGACATAGGCTGTGGGGTCGCGAGTTTTGGGGCTTACCTCCTTCCACTCGACATCATAGCCATGTCATTAGCACCAAACGACGTTCACGAGAATCAAATACAATTCGCCCTCGAGAGAGGGATTCCAGCTGCTTTAGGCGTTTTGGGCACACAAAGACTACCTTATCCAAGCAGGTCCTTCGAGCTGGCTCACTGCTCCCGATGCAGGATAGACTGGCTCCAGAGGGATGGAATCCTTTTGCTGGGGCTCGACCGATTGCTAAGGCCAGGTGGCTATTTCGTCTACTCTTCTCCTGAGGCTTACGCGCACGACTCCAAGAACCAGAGAATATGGAGCTTAATGCAAAACCTTGTGAAGAGGATGTGTTGGAGAGGGTTGTGGCAAGACGGGACCAAACAGTAGTGTGGGCTAAGCCCTTGAGCAATAGATGTTATAGGAAAAGGGAAAGTGTTGCCCTTCCGGCTTTGTGTGGGGTAGATGATGATCCGGACCAAGTGTGGAATGTGTTCATGAAAGCATGCATCACGCCGTACTCGAAGNAAATTATTTGCCCCGAACAATCGGGAACATGAAAAAGTTTCAGTGTTATATTCGTGTTTGAATAATTCGTGGTTTCTTGTTCTATGTACAGTGTTGTTTGCCTGATGCCGCATTTTGCTTCTTTTTGTGGAAAATTTCCCTTGCATTTGGATTTTAGTATCTTGAAAATTCTCCAGGCTATCTGAATTTCAGTGTTTATTACTTGTTTGACAATTTAAAATGTAAAATGCGCGTGTGTGTGTGTGTGTGTTATTTATTTTTTTTCTCGGGAGAACAGGAATGCATCAGGAAAAGGGGAGTGGACTAAAACCCTGGCCGCATAGGCTTACGGCTGCTCCTCCGCGTTTGGAAGAAATTGGAATAAGTGCTGACGAATTTCTGAACGATACCGTGAGGGCCATTTTGCAAAATTACCATGTTTTAAATTTGTTTGTTTCGTTTTTTTCGGCTGAGCCTGTTTTTACATATATCAACTTATACCATATACTCACAAAATGCAGGACGTGTGGCGTTACAGAGTGGCTGAGTATTGGAAAAAGATGAAATCCGTCATACAGGATAACTCGTTAAGAAATATCATGGACATGAACTCGAACCTTGGAGGTTTTGCGGCTGCTCTGAACGACAAAGATGTTTGGGTGATGAATGTTGCTCCAGTTAATTCATCTGCGCAATTGAAAATCGTATATGACCGCGGGTTGATTGGAACTGTTCATGATTGGTATACTATTTTATTTTATTAAAATTTTTCCTTTCATGAAACCCCCTTTATTTTTTTCCTAACAAAAATTTAGTTTCACTTTCATATGGGAGTCGATATATATATATATATCTGCAGGTGTGAATCTTTTTCAACTTACCCACGAACCTATGACTTGCTCCATGCATGGTCGGTTTTTTCTGAGATTGAGGAGAGAGGCTGCAGCACAGACGATCTATTAATCGAGATGGACCGAATGCTAAGGCCCGAAGGCTTTGTGATCATAAGGGATAAACATTATATAATAGAGATAAATCGTGTACGTAAATTTTTGGTCTCTTTAAGGTGGGACAAATGGTTATCGGAGGTAAAACCCAGTGCCGATGCTTTCTCCACAAGCGAAGAAAGAGTTCTAATTGCAAGAAAAAAATTATGGAACGAGATTTCAGAGTTTTAATTCACATGTTTGTCAATTTCATGATTTTGTCGTGCCCTTGTCTTGTACTTATAGAACATGGCAAATGCAGTTTTAGCTTATATAGCTTTGAGTAGATTTGAGTTGAGAACTTTTCTTTGTTAGGATAACCTTAGATAGAATTTGATGGTAAACCTGATGATTATAGTGGCTTTTCAAGGTGAAGTTTTGTGTAATCATATTCTTGTGAAAATTTAAATTTTCATTGTGAAAATTTGAATTTTCCTTGAATTTTCATGGTGAAAACTGATGATTATAGTGGCTTTAGAAATATAGATTGTCTCATACATATAAATTCTACTATAATGATGTTTGGCTTCCCCAACTTTCCAAATATCAGCTAAATTTTTCTAAACTCCTGTTTTATTCTTTTGGTCTTCGCACGTCATTTTCCTTGACTTGACCTCCAGCTCAAAGGTGCCCAAAATCTTTAACGATGAAATTATCATTTATNATGTATATATTTTTATGATAAATATCATATTATTGTAAGATGTTTAATTAATTTACAATCATTTATAAGTATGATATGCCATCATGATTAATAAATAGTATGCTATCTATGAAGAAGTCCTACTTTATTCCCAATTTGTTCGGAAAATTTCACTACCACAGTGTACCACAGTGCAGAATTGAATCCTCCCAATTTGTCCTCAATTGAAACCTACCAATTCTCAGTATGCATTTTACAGTTCACCGAGTTATGAGCACTACAAAAATCCAGTGAGTACTGAGTACAACTTCGACGAAAAACCATCCCATCAATTTAAAGATATCTCAAACCAGAACACAAATATTTTAAATTTTTTCGTGCATTATAACTACAGTTATAGGAGGGGGGGAATAAATAATAATAATAATGGAGTCATTCAAAATTAAAACATCACTAGTACAACACCCATGTTTTACATGGGTGGCGACGGTGCTTCGTTCATGGACGGATTCATAAAAGTGGGATGGGTATCCGGACAAATCAAATCCAAGACCGTCCCGGCCGGCGCCCACCCTTATCATAAATAATCAACATATTATAGATAATCCGAACCTAAATATATTTGGATTAGAAGTAAACTAAATCTACCCAACTCTAATAACGAAGCATGTATATTTGCCACATAGGATCCCAAAGCATGCGAGTCTGCCACATAAACTCAGCACGTTCTCAATTAATATATAGGGAGGGATTGTAAGACAACCGCAAAACTGATTCGTTTGTTTTGGGGAAAAAAAAAAGCCAACGAACTCAAACAGCAGGACACACCCTTGCGGGCAATTTTCTACTTTTTCATATGATTTTATACTCCCAATGTGTTGAAATAAATAGGGTCAGCAAACATGAGAACTGGGTTTTGGCTCAATTTCTAAAACTTGTTATGCTGTCTTCTTCTTCTTCTTCCTTGAGGCAAAGCTACTAGTCCCAGTTTCTTGAGACATTCGCTTTGTCCTGCATGTTAAAGAAAAAGGAAAAGCTACATGTCAAGACTCAAAGTAATCAACTAAATCTTGCAGTAAAGAAAAAAAAATGAAGGAATGAAAATGAAATTGAAAAGCAAACTCACCGTTTTGATGTCTCTGCACTTTCAACCTTATTCTCTTCAATCCCCAAGTCTGCCACAATAAAAATAGTATCACAAGCTAGAACCCAAGGATTGATGCATATTCAATACTTGGCCTATGTATCAAATAGATCTCATTTTTACCGATACTGACATGATTCAAAGCATCTTCACATGAAAATGATATATAGTAAATACATATATAGTAAATGTTTTCTTGCCAAAATGATATAATGGCAAGAAAACACATATCTTGCCCAAAAGCTTCAAATCGTCAGCACAAGACCTTATGTTAAAAATTACTTGTAATTTTAAAAAATACGAGATGCTTTCGATATTATAAAGACGAAAAGTTTACACTTAAAAGACATACCTTCTTCATCATCATCATCTTCAGCCTCAGGTCCCGATTCTGAATCAGAGCCCCAACGGTCACCTCCATCATCATGGTCCCACCGTTCACCGACAGGTGGCATCCAAAAGCCAGCTTCATTTTCAGAATCACTACTTTTTCCAGCCATGTCCCTTACTTCATCCATGATATCATCAATATTTTCCCCCTCTTCCTCAATCTTCTTCTTATTCTTCTTCAGACCACCATTTTCAATTTTCTTCTTCTTTTTCTTCTCCTTCTTCTCGTCCTGCTTCTCTGTTTTTCCATTTGGTGCTTCTTTTTCTGCCTCCTTCTTATCTGTTTGCATTCTCATTACATTTGAATTCGTAAAACATCGACTACTCGTAATTTAAAAATTGTTTTGCAGAAAAATGCATATAATCGAACAGACCTAACATGTTGAGAAAACGTTTCCCGTTTATATGCTTCCATATATGCTCCTCCGTTTTGTTGATCGTATCTCCGGTTAATCGGCATATTAGCTTCGAACTGCAACACAACCACCAAAAGCAAGCAAAAACCATTGAACAAAAAAATCCCATTTTCGCTCAATCAATTCAGCAAAGTTATACAATCCATCAGGCGCATAAACTAAAACACGCAAAGGAACAAAACAAAACATAACGAACGCAAATGGGGTTAACATTTTATCTTATGAAGATTCAACAAGAAAATATTGCATCTGAAGTCTGAACAGGCTAAATATCCTTCCTTTTTAACAAAGGGCATGAAAAATGGAGCATAACAGAAATTACCGGGAGGCAGGGTCTTGCTTGAACATGTTGAGAGGCGGCTTATTCCGAGCCAGCGCGGCGTCGATGAGCCCCAGCCGACAGTGCTTGGAGTCGGCGTATGAGTCTCTGGCGTGAGACGGCAGCTCGTGACCGGTCTCCACGCACTTGAACCGGCCATTCTCCAGCTGCTCAAAAGTCGGCGCGCCGAGTAAATTGTGTCCTTCTTTCAGCTCGCTCGGATTAGGGTTTCCTTCACCTTTCTTCTTCCCCATGGGCTTTTACCTCAACGGCGGTTCTGCAATTTTGTGAAGAAACGCGACTTTATCCCTTTTCCTTTTCTGTTCCTTTTTCTTTGGGTGGATCAAGGAAAAGCGACTTTACGCATTGGACAACGATATTCAGCGACTTACCAGAATGTATGCCTACATTGGCTGAATCCATATGGAAAATCCAATATAGTTTGGTTAAGGCCCAGCTAATCCTATTTGATTATTGGGCTTAAGAACAACCCGAACTACTAAGCCAGTTTACTTTTGGGCTACCTACCTAACTAAACAGTTTTTTAAGGGCTTAAGAACAACCCGAACTACTAAGCCAGTTTACTTTTGGGCTACCTACCTAACTAAACAGTTTTAAGGACTAAGGTTAGACAACGTCAATAATTTGGATTAGTGACATAAATTGTAGAATGACGTCGAAGAGTGTCATAAGGTCGTAAACTAATCTCAAGCACGAGTCGAAAACTAAAGAAATTAATAAACTAACTCAAACTCGACTCGTATTAACGAGTAGACGTAAATAAGCTCGACTCGTTTATCATTATTAACGAGAAGAATTCGAGTCTTAAACTAAATTTATTAAAGAGACTCCCCTCAAATTTTCATATATGATCAACACAAATAGTATAGTTTGTTAAAATTTAACAGGATTTAACGACCCTTTCAAAATTTGCTGTGGCCATCATCAGAATAACGTTCACGTGTGGTGCGGGCAAGCGGTGAAGATCAACGGCTCGGATTTAATCGGTGACAGCTGTGGATCGCCGGAGAGTTGTGTAAGCTGGGATGGGGTCCATTACTCTCAGGCAGCCAATCAGTGGATTGCAAATCAAATACTTAATGGCACATTTTCTGAGCCCCCAATCCCAATTATGTGTTAAGCTTTGACATGGTTCAGCAAAGACTGTTAGCATAATTATGTGTATCCTACTTAATGGGAGTTGATATTCAT